AAAAGAAAATTCATGATTCAAATTTGTCTAAATATTCGAAATTAACTTTTAATCTTGCTTAATTGTATTTATTTTAATTTATCAAAATGTAAAATATTAAACGAAATATATAAATTCATATAATCAAAAAATCCCCTAAGCATTCATTAATAAATCTACTTTAAATTTAAAATTTTGAAAAAGCAGGTATAGTATGTATTATTGTAAAATAACAAATACACTCAAACATTATTAATCAAAATAATTATTTAATTTTTATTCACTTAACACCTCCAATAAGTAGAAAATAATCAAAGTTAATCTTTTTTATGCAAATTGTTATTATTTTGCCTTATTTAGTAGCAAATACCAAAAAAAAGAAAGAATTAGACTTTGTGTTAGATCAAAATTCGTTTCCACAATTTTATCAAATATTACTTCAATCTATATTCAATGTGAAAATTAGTATATCAATTTTTTAAAGAGTAAGAGATTCATAATATTTTAAGTAAGCTCCCTTACATAATTGTAATTTTGAGATCTACAAGGATATAATTTTTTTTGCTGTTTATTAAACTCTGAAGTAGAATATCAAATTCTCATTGCCACAACTAGAATTGATTTATAAAGTTAGAAAGAAAATGAGGAAATGATATTTGGTCAAGAAAGAGCTATTTGTTATGGATCTAATCAACTAATACTATATCAAATTTAATACTATAATATTAGTATTATTTTTTAAATAGACTATAAAATATTGGGTGATATTGAATTTCAAATTTTGGAGTGTTTCAATTTTTTAGTTTTCTAAGGATCATAAATTGAATAATATTTATTTAAATATCATAATGATATTACATAAGATAAAAATCAAAAAGTAGATTATAATAAATTGAATAATCCAAGTATTATTTTGATTATAAACTAAATGTATACAAGTTGATTTGATATTAGAGATTTGTAAGAAAAATTTGATAAGATTTTTAATAATTGATTTAAATATGAAATTTATAGTTTAATTGAACCAAAATGCAAATTCTTATTTTATGTTATCTTTTTCTTATCTTTTAATAGAAAATGTAAATATTTTCAAAATAATTAATTGATTCTTTTAATAAAATTACTTTAAGTGTTTTAATCAAATATCAAATAACAATTATAAATAAAACTTATTTTTATGAATTAATAGAAACTGTTCACATGTTAAGATATAGCTCATGAAGGTGAAGCCATACAAGGATTTTGTTTAAATATAGGATGCTAAGATGCAAGATCTTAATTCTGTTTTTAATGTGGATTTGACCCTAAGAAACATACTAATTGCAAAAAAGATCTAAAAGGATTTGGTATGATTTAAAGTTTTATCACTAAATTCGATTAGTATATACTTGAATTAACTGTTTAATTGAATTAATCTTATTCATCAGTCAAAATAAAATATGAAGAATTCTCAAAATATTTGGAGAAAATAAGAATACAATTACAAAAAATATCTTATGGTTTAACTTAATAAGATTATAAATATTTTAAAGACAATTTGTAAATGATTAAGGAATGCTATCAATTTTCAAACAATTAAGAGGAGATCATGAAGTAGAATTAAATTAGTATGTTTACATTATTAATATTTATAGGAAACTAGTTAATTAGTATAAAAAGAATGATTCAAGCTTTTGATTTGGGTGAAGGATAATAGTAAACTCAAGATACTAAACAATATGATTAAATCACACTTGAGTAAGGTATTCTATTTTTAAAAAATATAAATATTAGGAATAGAATTATTAAATCAAAAGAGATGGTAGGAGGCTAATGAAAAAATAAATTAATACTTAAAATTATTAGAAAAACAGTAATCATTTGCAACTTTGTTTTAAAGTAATTCTAAAATAATTATTTTATTAAGGCATTACTTTAATTGAAATGAATCAACCAGGAGAAGGGATAAAAATGAGAGAAAAAGCTAAGAAGATTAATAATAACCTATATAAAGATCTATTGGATTATTCAAATTTAAAACTTATAAATAATCCTTAAAATACTTTTTTTTTAATTGCAAAAAGTAAATGAAATCAATAAATAGGTTATGCATTAAATGATAAGATGTAATATGAATAAGCAATCGCGTAATGTGAAAAGGTTTTGAAGGAAGAGCCTTAACATCTCCATGCTCTATATAGAAAAAGTAATCATAAATTTTGTAGAATAGGCTTTTCTTTATAAGATTTGAATTAACATTCATAAGCAGTTTCGTGTATTGAAAAAGCTTTAAGTGAAAATTTTAAATACTCTATTGGTTACATATTATAAGGTTGTTTATTATGTCTTATTTTAAGGGTATTCATTAAAAAGTATTGGTAAATAAAAAGATGCCATTGATTGCTATGATAAAGCAATTTAATTAGATCCTAATTACGCATAAGCTTATACTAATAAAGGTTAATCAAGTTTTGATTTTATAGGCGCTTCTTTAGATGATCTTGGTTAATATAACGATGCAATTAATTGCTATAATAAAGCAATCTAATTGGATCCTAATGATGCATAAGCATATTTTAATAAAGGTTAAACAATTTTTATCATTTCATTAGGCAATTCCTTAAAAAATCTAAAAAAATATAACGATGCAATTAATTGCTATGATAAAGCAATAAAACTGGATGTTAATAATGCATCAGCCTATATTAATAAAGGTTTATAAATTTTTTGATTTTAATAGGGAATTCCTTAAAAAGTCTTTTAAAATATAGTGATGCGATTAATTGCTATGATAAAGCAATTTAACTGGATTCTAATAATGCAAAAGTATATAATAATAAAGGTTTATAAATTTTTTGATTTATAGGTGCTTCTTTAATTGATCTTTGTAAATATAACGATGCAATTAATTGCTATGATAAAGCAATTCAACTGGATCCTAATTATGCAACAGCTTATACTAATAAAGGTTAATCAATATTTTGATCATATAGGTGCTTCCTTAGATGCTCTTTGTAAATATAACGATGCAATTAATTGCTATGATAAAGTAATCCTATTAGATCCTAATGATGCATAAGCGTATTTTAATAAAGGTTAATCATTTTTTCATTTGAATAGGTAATTCCTTATATAATCTAAAATAATATAACGATGCAATTCATTTCTATGATAAAGTAATACAACTGGATCCTAATGATGCATCATCTTATATTAGTAAAGGTTAATTAATTTCATATTTTAATAGGCAATTCTTTATAAAATCTAAAAAAATATAACGATGCAATTAATTTCTATGATAAAGCAATCGAACTGGATACTAATTGCTCATAAGCATATAATAATAAAGGTTAATCACTCTATTCATTTTAATAGGTGTTTCCTTAAAAAGTTTAAGAAAGTATAAAGATTCAATTAATTGCTATGATAAAGCAATTTAATTAGATCCTTATTATGCATAAGCTTATATTAATAAAGGTTAATCATTTTTTCATTTTATTAGGTAATACCTTATCAAATCTAAAAAAATATAAAGATGCAATAAATTGCTATGATAAAGCGATCTAATTGGATCCTAATTATACATAAGCTTATAATAATAAAGGTTAATAATTAATTACATTTTTATAGGAAATTCTTTATAAAGTCTTAAAAAATATGATGATGCAATCAAATGGTACGATAAAGCAATCTAATTGGATCCTAATTATGCATCAGCTTATATTAACAAAGGTTAATCAAATGATTGATTTAATAGGCAATTCCTTATAAAATCTAAAATGTTATAGTGATGCAATTAATTTCTATGATAAAGCAATTGAACTGGATACTAATTGCTCATAAGCATATAATAATAAAGGTTAATAGCTCTTTTCATTTTGATAGGTGTTTCCTTAAAAAATTTAAGAAAGTATAAAGATTCAATTAATTGCTATGATAAAGCAATTTAATTAGATCCTTATTATGCATAAGCTTATACTAATAAAGGTTAATCAATATTTTGATTTTATAGGCGCTTCTTTAGATGATCTTGGTTAATATAACGATGCAATTAATTGCTATAATAAAGCAATCTAATTGGATCCTAAAAATGCATCAGTCTATATTAATAAAGGTTAAACAATTTTTTCATTTTAATAGGCAATTCTTTATAAAGTCTTCAAAAATATAGCGATGCAATTAATTGCTATGATAAAGCAATCCAACTAGATCCTAATGATGCATCAGCCTATACTAATAAAGGTTAATCAAGTTTTGATTTTATAGGCACTTCTCTAGATGATCTTGGTGAATATAACGATGCAATTAATTGCTATGATAAAGCAATCTAACTGAATCCTAAAAATGCATCAGCCTATATTAATAAAGGTTAAACAATTTTTTTATTTTAATAGGCAATTCCTTATAAAATCTACAATATTATAGCGATGCAATTAATTTCTATAGTAAAGCAATCTAATTAGATCCTCATAATTCATTAGCTTATTTTAATTAAGGTCAGTAAATTTTTTGATTTTAATAGGTAATTCCTTATAAAATCTCAAAAAATATAAAGATGCAATTAATTGTTATGATAAAGCAATACAACTGGACCCTAATTATCCATAAACTTATAATAATAAAGTTTATTCAATTTATTGATTTGAATAGGCAATTCCTTATAAAATCTAAAAAAATATGACGATGCAATTAGTTGCTATGATAAAATAATCAAACTGGATCCTAATTATGCATCAGCCAATTTTAAAAAAGGTTAATCAATTTTTGAATTTTAATAGGTGCTTCCATAGATAATCTTTATAGCTATAACGATGCAATTAGTTGTTATGATAAAGCAATTTAACTAGATCCTTATTATACATTAGCCTATATTAATAAAGGTTAATAATTTTTTTTATTTGAATAGGTGCTTACTTAGATGAACTTGGTAAATATAATGATGCAATTAAATGCTATGATAAAGTAATTCAACTAGATCCAAGTTATGCATAAGCCTATATTAATAAAGGTTAAACAATTTTTTTATTTTAATAGGCAATTCCTTATAAAATCTAAAATAATATAACGATGCAATTAATTGCTATGATAAAGCAATTCAACTGGATTCTAATTAGGCATCAGCCTATATTAATAAAGGTTAATCAATTTTTTGATTTTAATAGGTGCTTCCTTAGATGATCTTTGTAAATATAATGATGCAATTAAATGCTATGATAAGGTAATCTAAATGAATCCAAATTAAGCATTATCCTATATGAATAAAGGTTAATCAATTTTTTGATTATTATAGGCAATTTCTTATAAAAACTAAAATAATTTAATGATGCAATTAATTGCTATGATAAAGCAATCCAACTGGATCCTTATTATACATCAGTCTATATTCATAAAGGTAATCAATTTTTCATTTTAATAGGTTATTTACTAACTTAAATGATGAAATATTAATAAGCCATAGATGTATATGAGCAAGCAATTTTATATTGCTAATTATATTAGAATGAGTTTAGACAATTAATAAAGGAATTAAGAAATAAGAATTGAATAATTTTAGACATATTTAATACAATATTTATATTTATAATAATTATCTTCGTCTTCAATTTTCTAATGGTTATTATTTAAATCATATTTATTAAATATAATAGATCTAAGAAATTCCCAGAATATTATTTAAATCTAGATAGTACATTGCAATAATTTCTTTTAATAACATTTTTTCTGATAATTAATTATTATAGTAAAATACGGCATGTTTTAAAATAGATATTAGTTAGATAATGGATCCAATTTATGCTAATAAAAAACCTAATTTAGGATAGATTAATTCTTCAACAATAGAAATAGTACCAATCCTAAATAAAAAAACCATGGCTATCAAAATTATAGTTGAAACTGGACATTATATTAATTATTTTTGCTATTTATGTTTTATCAGTCTCTTAAGTAATTAATTCATTATTTTTTATAAAATTACAATTTTATAATTATTATATTAAATTACATACTATGCATTCTTAGTTTAGGTTCAAAGGGAGAAATTTGTTTAATGATCTGCATCTATTAACACTGTAATAAACCTTATAT